AAATAATAATTTAATATCAAAGAATCATTGATGTTTATTGAATTTTTTATGGTTACTCATTAGACAGTAGACAATAATGATTAATGGGTATGGTATTGGTGAGGCGTGGTCGTAGGTACACTCAATCTGCGGAAACGCACTGACCGTACGTACCGGCCGCAGTTGCTAGCTCCCGGATGGGTGACCACCCGGGATTTTTAGCAACATATCCTTGCCACACATACACATACACAAACACGTGTTACAACCCTATCAACTTAAAAACCTACAAACAAATATGCAAAAATAACCCCTACCGTACCACCCCATACCCAATGGCCTAWGTTTCCACGGTTTCCCTTAATAATAATTAAAAAAATAATGGGTATACTAATACAAATCGCATAATATGAAAATGTAGGTAGTTATTATTATTATCAAGTGTTTTGAAAAAAAATAAACCTAGTGCTTTTAATCTTGTATTCAGAGTCAAAAAGTATAAAGTATAATAGACGTTTTTGACGATGAATAACAACAAGTAATAAAAAAAATATATTAACCTGTGTTTATTATTTTATTTTAATAATTACACTATTAAAGTAGGTAGGTATTATCTACGTACTACTATTTCTACATCATAGATTAAAAAATATTAATATTTAAGGCGTTCGCAAATTTAATGCATCATATATTATCATAAAATATAAGGTAATAATATATATAATACATATATACCTATGTATAAATAATACCTTATATAGTTATATACTTATATGTATAAGCACTAACGCACTCACATATAACTGCTACGCAATGGCGCTGAATTCCAAAATGTTTATAWAGTGAACTAAATCCAATCTATATAATGAATTTATACCACCCATAGTATCCCACCTACCGACGTACCATACAAAATTTTACGATACCATAATATATATAATAATAATAATATGAATTATGAAATTACAAATATTAAATACTATGGTCTTTTTATGTTTTGGGGACGATCACTGATTTTAATTTTGAAATTATATACATAATATTATGCTAAGTAATACTACATATAATAGTGCTTTGTTTTTAAGAAAATATGAATTGTACAATTTAATTTAAAATATTATATTTAAGATACTTAAAAAAAAAAATGTAATCAATGTAACATTTACGACTAATGGCCGTTGTCGCCGATGTCTTTTAATTAATAATAATAAAAAAAAAAAATAGTGCTTTGAAAATTGTAAATAATCACGATACGCATATATATCGATAACTGATAAGTTATATTGTTATAAGTATATTACTAGCGAGTGATAACTGTCGATCACGAAAATATATAACTCTACTTATTAACTATTATACCCTAGTAGATATTATATAGCTCACATTAGTTATGTGATTTTTATTAAATCTATAGTTTAGTTGTACATATTTATTTGACTTGTTCATTTACTTCATGCATATTTTTACTATTACATTTCAAAACATTTTAATATGATCGACATATTATGGTTTGTTTAAACAATAATTATCTTACATTTTTATGAAATGAAACCTAACCTATGAAATGAAACAAAAGTTATAAGTATACCAGAATAGATACCTAGTACTTACTTGACTATAAAACTGATACTTTTACAGATAACTAATACTCTATACTTACCTCACTGTGATTTATTGAAATTTATAATTATGTAATTTTATACATTACTTAATGTATTTATATTTTATTATAGTTAGGTTATGGTAATATGTACGTGACGATGACCATCAGATTAACTTATTATAAAATATTAAGACGAAATAAATAAATTAGTATAAATATTTTACGTATGAGGTGTTATATGTCCTATCATAAAATATATTCATTGAATATTTTTAGTTTTATACGAGTACTAAGTAAAAACCGTGCTTTTTATTTACGAGGTCTTATAAAAGTAATTGCTATTTAAATGGTTAAATGCACCTTACAAAACAAAATATATTGAAATATAATATAACTAAATTAGTTTACCTATAAGTAATGATTTCAAATGTATTTGCATTAGATCTTGGATTAAGAGGCCGTTTTATTTCACTATTTTCATCTGTTATAGACCTAAAACAATAATTAATAATAATTATAATTGATAAGCAAACGAATTCTAATGAATATTTAAAATATTTTCTACAACTAACCTGTTCATGGCGTAGATGCTCTATTAATTGCACTAGGTATTATGAAAATAGATTTTCTTTAAATGCCGTTTTCTAAAATATATATATATATATACATATATTTAAATTTATATTTATTTGCGTATAGATGTAATAACTAATATATTACACTGTTGATCGTATTATAGTTATAACATTTCACATTTGTATAATGAGAACGCTACTCGCAAATGTATGGCATGGTAAATTTTACGTTCAGAAGAAACTATTTTTCTCTAATAATTTTAATATTAAATTCAATTTACTTATTATCAAAATATAAATTAAAAATATTATCTAAAGCCACACCACATAGGCTATTTATGACCAACTAGATTATGTTATAGTATAAAAAATAACTTGCACACATCAATTATATTTTACAAAATTAACAAAATAAAAAATATTTAATCATACATRTAGAATTTTTGTTACAGAGGTAGAGATAGTGATTGGTATGTTTTGTAAGATAACTGTCAATCACCAATTCCCTCAACAATATTTGCACTGTTCGTTGTACTACCTAATAAAATAATGTTTTGTGCGGTCCGTTACATTAGCACCACCATATCCGAAAATCCAAAAAAMGATTATACTAATGATTGTTATTCCATCTATACACATTTKTCATCCTAATATAACCATTCGTACTAAATTTTAATTTAAATGTTATGTTAAAATAAGGAGAATTAATCAATCCATTTATAGAAAAACTATTAGAATACATATTGATGGAAATTATTTAACTAAATTAAGCTAATAAAAAAGTATATTAATATACACAGCAATATAACCTATGTCTGGAAAGTCCACAATTGACGTATACGTTCTCCCTCCCCCAAAGGAAAATCTATACAAACAAACTATACAGATACTTGKCTAAATTTAATTCAATAATTTTTATCAATACGATCGTATATATAGTTCTTCTATAAATGGATTGACAAACTCTCCTTATTTTAACATAACATATTGTACAGCAAGGTAGTCGCGTGTATACATTTTAATTTTTATGGTTTGAGGATATCAAAGTAGTTGATTGTGTTTTATAGTGGTTTATTATATTTATTAGGATATTTTAAACAACATTTTGATAAGTTAAAAGAACTTTCAAATATACATTTGATATTATTTTTTAGTATACGATTATTTATTTTGGTTGAGAGACATGAAGTACTGTCCTGTAGATTATAATTTACATGTTATTATGTTATATACAATTGATTTTTATACGTAACATAATATACTATTACACATTTTTTTAATTTGTCAAAACAATTTCCATTAAAATGTAACTTGTTTTATATTTTATATAATAAAATATAGGTAATTTTAACTCTTAAACACTTTATGTTAACTTTTGTGAAGCACTGTAAAATTCAACGCCGACATTAATTATTATATATAATTATTATTACCAAATTTAATT